ATTCATTCCGCTTGCCCATTTTTTAATTGGGTCCTTTATTCTAGGGAGTCTAATTTTTTCAAGTTTTTAAATATATTCTAGATATTTTTAAAACAATATATTAGCTCAGGAGTCTGCAAGTTTTTGAAACAGAGTAGAATCCATAAATTGATTGAAATATATAGGAAAACTCAATGTATGCTAAAAGTGGCATGTCTTTCTAGTAAGGAAAAGATAGATTACAAAATAATTTGGAGAAATTATCCAGTGATAATTGCATTTAGGTTAAATTTCACTTGGAGTACAGATTTAATGTTAAAAATAGAACCACAAAAGCAACAGAAGAAAATATGGAAGAATGTGTCTATGACATTAGGTTAGGAAAAGTTCTCTTCCATAATCCATAGACGAAAAATTGCAAGGCAGTAAATCCATAACCCATAAAGGGAAATTTGGTATATTTGACCGTGCAAAACTTTAAAATATCTATATGAGAAGACATCCATAAATAAAGTCAAAAGAACAATTGCTTGCAATTCATATGACAGTTAATGTTTAATACACTAAAAGGTTATACAAAGTGATCATAAAAAAGATAAACAGCTCAGTATAAAAGTAGGCAAAGGACATGCATGGAAAATGTAAATCACCAATAAACTTGTGAAAAGGACAAGACCCCCTAGTAGCAAGAGAACGTGAATTAAAACAACTGAGATGCCATGATTTGCCGATCAACTTGGGAAAGATGGCAGCATCCAGTGCTGATGAGTAGACACAGTTGGATGGGTTGCTTGGACATTTTTACAGAAAGAAGTGAAGCAATAGTCACTTAAATAGTTAATACGCATTTCACGTTTGGTCCCACAGTTTCATTCCTAGAATTCTTTCCCACAGAAATGAAATCACTAGAACATGAAACATGTTTGAGTAAGGCAGTTTAATCCTACTGTGGTGCTAGTAGCCTATCCTGGAAACAAAACGCGCATCCAACTGCAAAGGAGTGTTTGGTTAAATAATGATATGCTCATCTTGTGGAATACTATGCAATTGTTTTAAAATTAGGTACATGCATAGATTTGAAAAAGAGTGTGTGTTTGTTTCTCTCTTTCTCTCACTTGCTCTCACTCTCGCTCTCACTGTCATTCCAGCTGTGTGTGTGTGTGTGTGTGTGTGTGTGTGTGTGTGTGTGTAAACAAGCATAGAACAAATTTTGCAAATTTATACAACAAACTGTTAACATTGGTTATCGCCAGAGGAAGAAAAGGGTGAGCCCTGATTCATTTTTTACTTTGTACCTTTCTGAATTTCAAAGTTTATTACATTGAGAAATATCTCATAATTATAACCCAGAGCATTCTGAGTAACTCTGATGAAACTCAGTCTATTTATCATAGAGATAATACCAAAAAGCTATCCACATCTCAACAGGAGTCTCCTACCTAAAAACCCACCCTAACCTCCTTCCCCTGGCACCTGTTGGAGCAACTTTGCTTTTACCTGTTGGATGTGGAGCATCTAGTAACTGTTCACATTTTCCTTTGCCATAGCTAGCAACTATGTCACATTAGAGACTCCCTTTTATTCTGTATCGTCTCTGGTCGTATGGCTTACATTCTGTGCGTGGCCCATATTGTTGGCATCGTCTTGTTGTCCACCTTGCTCTTTTCCGTTACAAGTTCCTTTATTTTAGCTGGTTACATTGTATGCATCCCTTTAGCCACCTCTGATCTTTTTTTGGGAGATCAAGTAGGGATATAAGTAAATATTGACTAGTGACTTCTATTTTAACAGGAACCTGGGAAAGAAGAGAGTTTCAGAAATGATGAATAGGCCACGCATCACTACCAACTACAGATGACTTACCCTTCTGTTTACAAAGGTAAGGAAATACAGTCTATATTTTTGGTCAGTTCTGATTGACACAGTATACCCTGATTTTTATATATTGATTTACAAATATTCTAAAGCATGTATCTAGTTGATAGCCTTTAACTTTGACATTATTAAATTTAAAACAGAAACCAGAAATTTTATGCATGTTGGCATATCAAAAATATGGGGGAAAACTCTTAGATACATGGTCTCTGCTCTTAATTACAGGGTATGATTAAATTTTTAATATTTTCCATATATTTAAATGTAGCCCAGTGCACTGAAACATATTTGAAGAATAAAACAAAATCTAAAAATGAAAACCTAATGAATGTATAGTCCAGTCATCTGAAGATCATTGCCAGTATGTCTTTGCCCCTTTCTTTTGTGGGTACGTAGGAACATATATGATTATACTGTATTTTTATTATTATTCTATAGCTACCTCAGCTTCTTTAACTGCAAATGATACACCTTATTGATATGAAAACATAAATAGTGCAGGACCCGATAGTAATCACTGCTGTAACCATTTGAACAGTCCTTGCTAGTTTACTCGCCTGTCCCTAAGCAACTCATTTGCCTCTCCTGCCCAGATGTCTCTGATGAATAATAGGCCCATGTGCCTCTGTCAGATAACACTCTACAGAAGGAAAAACAAACAGTGAGAAAAGCTTTGAATCATGTTGGTTCATGGCCCTCCTTTATCATTATTATCTGTTGTGTACACCTTAAAAGGTACTGAGTTTTAAAAGTAGAAGTTCACGTTTCTCTCTGCTTCCCTCCTGTTAAGTGAGGGGTGATTTAAAATACTTTTAGACCCTCAGATCATCTGTCCTTCACTCATGGCATTAAGTGAGTTTCTCACTGAGTTTTTTTCAAGCGCCCTTCAGAGTTGCTCTTGAAGTGCCTCCATTGCAGAGGCAGGGAAGTCTTGGCTGGGGAATGACTGATTTGGCTTTCTTCATCCAGGTCTTTGGTCAAACAGCTGAAGATTGGTTTTTTACCCTAAGCCTGCCGTTATAAAGCCTCTTAGGCATTTAAATTTTCCTAGTATTTTATTCATATCTCATCCAAATATTGGTCTAAGGAAACTAGAAAAATCTTTTTTTTTTTCTTTAAACAAATAAAGCAGAGGAATGGGAAGCAGTTATTGGTGAAATATTTGTCCTTGGAAAGTCCATACTCTAATATGGGCAGATTGAATGGATGCAAACAGACATGAAAAGTTAAGAAGGTAAAAAGGTGATTTGGTTCCTGGATAGCAGTATCCTTTCATTTTCCTGGATGGCTTTAGTCACATCATGCTCTTGTCAGCCAAGGTAAAGTCAATCATTTAGCTCTAGTGCAGAGAAATGTCTGGCGAATTTTTTGGTATAATAAATAACTGTTTATTAAAAGTCCAGGATTTAGAGCATGTTTTAAAGGTTTATAAGAAAATCAGAAGTTTTATCCTTCCTTACTGTATTAAATCCTCTTCATGCAATTAAAAATAAGACTCTAAATATTGTGGTCCTCTGATTATGCAGTTACCCTTGTTTATCACAGAAATAATTGTCATTAAAAATACTATGAAGTACTATTGAAGATAACGAGACAACACAGGAACTATGGTAGAACTCTTTGTACAACAGTCTTATATGTCTTTTTCGTTTCATGTGTTTATAGGAATATGTTTTGTTTTGTCTTGCTTTGTTTTGTTTCTCCCTCCAATATAGAAAGGATAGAAATACATGTTAAGACTCACAAATGTGTAGAATCTGTAAACAGTTTATGAGAACTGATCTTATGACACATGATGAAATGAACAAATACTTTGAAGAAAAAGAGACACTAAAATACCCAGTGCTGATCCTGGAGTGTCATAATGTGAAACCCAGCAATAGTATTATTCTTTGTTCAGAGTGATATTAGCCTGCTTGGGTTTGTTCAGTCCAACATAATTGAAGATATGGATGACAGCATGTATGTTTAAGTGTATAGGATTGATAACCATATTTCTAAGTTTTTGTTGGGTAGTTGAACAGAACTGGTTGCAATCTCACTGTTTGAATCCCCGCTTTAAATGCTCCACTTTAGTATCTTGAATAACTATTTGTAAGAGGACAATCTGTAATCATCAACTAGTGATTTCTTACTGTTTATTTTTTCTTTGAATGTATTATTTTTACGCATTTTCTGTTTTGTTTAGTCTTTCTTATATAAAATTTTTAAAAACTGTGAAGTAAATATGAAAGGGAGAGAAACATGTTTGAACATGTGATACCTCTCTGAGAAAAAAGTGTTTTATTCAAAAATATTAAAAACAATCATAAAGATAGTCAATGTTAAGTATATAAAACTGCAAAAGTATCTCATAAAATAAGTTAGAAGGTACTCACAACATGGGAAAATATTAATAATGTATTTGGTAGTAGATTATAACCTTAAAACATAAAAATCAATAGGGAACTCACTAATATTAACAACCATAATAGGTAAAAATTCAGTAACTCGGAGTACCAAAACTGCAATACTGGATGGGAAAAAAATGGAGAACTCAAAAGAAGAAATGCAAAGAGCTAAAGATGATATTAAAAATAATGTTAACCTTTGCTACCTTGTTCTCTCTTTTTATCATCAAATGGGGAAATGATTATTACATCAATATTTAGTAACTTTTGTAAGATGATACTATACTATTCAAAATAAAAATGCATAGAACAAAAGATAGAAAGGAATATGCTAAAATCTGAATAATAGAGTTCCTTAAGGGAAGTAGAATTAAGAGTAATTTTTTTTGGTTCTGATTCATGTATTTCGGTACTTTCCAGATATTTTTATTGTAAGCATTTATAACCAGCAGAAAATTTTAAATGGCTTAATAAGAACAAATTTATATATGTGATAGAGTCTTGAACTTTTATAGCATCTTTGAGTTAAGTATACTACTAAAACAATTTAGAAGTTAAAATTTATTTTTGGAAAGATTGAGGAACGCAGATTTTCTTTTTAGTATTCTGAGAATTTCTTTCTTCGTTTATTAGAAACAGCACTACCAACAAAAACATTTTTTAAAATGTATTTTTATTTAAGAATAATAATATATTGTCTGTCAGAATAGAGTCTAAATTCCTATGGGAATATTTTTCCCTTATAGATGTCGTCAGCTGCTGAAAATGAAGATGCAGCACCTGGAAAACAAAATGAAGAAAAAACCTATAAAAAGGTGAGTGTCTTATTTGCTTGCCTCAAGTAAAGAAGAGGGACACTGTTGCATTGTTTGGCATGTGGCGCTATTAGCCGCTTTTCTCCCTGCAGAGCAGTTGTAAGTTGGACTACCACAAACTTGGGGCTCGAATAATACAAATGCATTATCTTGTAGTTCTGCAGTAGAGCTGACAGGGCTCTCTCACTGATGTCTGCACAGCTGTATTGCTTGCTGGAAGATGTAGAGGAGCGTCTGTTTTTTTCTTATTCTGAGCTTCTAGAGGCTGCCTGGGTTCCCCATTTCAGGGCCTCCTATTTAGAGCAATGGTGGGTGGGTCTTTCTTAAGCTGTATCACCCTGACACTCTAACGAGTCCATGTAGTGGTGGTGCACGCCTGTGATCCAAGTAGTCTTTGCGACTGAGGGGGCAGGATTGCAAATTTGAGACTAGCCTGGGCAACTTAGCACTTTAGGGAGATCCTGTCTCAAAATTAAAAATTAAGAAAAGTGGGGACTGGGCTGTGGCTTATGAGAATTCCCTATATTCAATCTCCCCTATTCAAGTGAATGACATCATCTGATTAGCAACCTTAATTTTCCCTCTAACCTTAACTGCTATTTCCATATAACATAACCTGTTCATAGGCCCCAGTGGTCAGAAGATAAGTGTTCTGGGGGGCTAATATTTTGCCCACCATATTTGTCGTGATATACACTGTTCAAGTTTTCCTTGATAGAAAGGTAGTTATTTAAAGGTAGTTATTTATTCCTAAGGAGAAGATTTTTAAGGGCATGCGGTGTTCTGTTTGATATGTGAATTCTTTGTTTGATTAACTACTTTTTGTCAAAATTTTAAGCATTTTCTACCTTTGAATTTTACACACCTTTGAAGTGTAGAATGCTGCATCCATCCCCATTTTCTAAGCTTTACAGATTTCATGTCTAAAGGCTAAACTTCCCACCTGTCATTACTTTAGGTCAGGTCCAGGCAGTCTTCTCATAAGCTCCAAAGTACACTGAGATTTCTGAGTGAATCCTGACCCACAGAAGCTCTTTCATGATGGAGCAGTAATAGAAAGAATGTGAGCATGGCGTCTTGGAGCTTTCTAACTGTGCCCTGCTCCAGAACTTAGTGAAGCAGGTTGTCAGTAATACTGTAGATAAAATTCTACGATTAACATCTCTAACAGGATATTTGTCTCAGCAATATTAGAAAGGTTATAAACACGAAAAATCAGATTCTATGATTACAGATAATTCCAGTACACAAAAGGCAAGGGAAAGTTAAAGGAAACCAAACATACACAAAACACCAACAGTTTATAAAACTAAGTAATAAATGTAGGGATCTTTTTATGATCTCTGATATTAAACACAATACATGTGATGGAGAGGGAGTATTTGGCCCCTTTAGGAAAAGCACCAGGAAACAGAACATGTCCTAGAGCCTTAACCCTCGGTAAATATGGCGCTGATACACCGGCAGAAAGAATGAATCACTTAGAGTGTTTACTGCTAGATCAAAGCTCAGCTGAATTACTCAGTTTAATTCTTCTTCATTAAGAGGACCTGTCTTCAAACTGGAGAAGGTGTTAGTGACAGAGTTAGGAGAGGATAATACAAAGCACATTTGCTGTTGCTAGTGGAGTATCTCTAGGCTAAGATGAACCATTGAATTGAGAAGAAGAAACTGGTTACATGTAAGCTTTGAACATGTTTGAGAATGGGATAAATATTGTAAGAGGGGAGCAAATCATATCCCTATTTTAAAAACTGAGAAAAAAGTATATTCTGGAAACCGGATGATAAGTGAGACACTGTTCCCCAGCAAAATTGGAGCAGTCACTACACATATGTTTATACACATTTAGAGAAGTATCTTTTGTAAACAGGGGGAAGTTTACAAGATACAGTTTGTCACATTAACCACATTTCCTGTTATCAAAGTCTTTAAATTATTTATAGATAACGATAATGTTCAAATTTAGTGAATCTTCACTTAAAAATAGTATTCTTTCAGACAAAGTGGAAAAGTATGAACTAAAGTGTACAGTAAGCATATTTATATCTAGTTTTATTGTCTCAAAACATGGCAGTTTTGTTCCCTGGGCATGTAGTCCCTACCAGCACAATGTCTGAAATGCCCTGGGTAGCACTTTTTCTCGTGACCGTAATTAAGGCATAAAAGCTGGTTTTGCACATGATGAAGAAACTAGAAATGACAGCTCACAGATTAGATGAATGTCATCAAGGCCACCATGTACTTCATTAACTATGTGCTTTTACAAATACTGTGAAGTTAAATTTCTAATCCTGAAGCTCTGACCTTCAAGAATGTATTTGTTTAGTAAGAAATTCTGGTGATTGAAGCCACCCAGGGATCCCAGGTTAAGGAGCCCCTAACCTAAGAACAAGAAGGATATCAAAGGAGTTCTAAGGAAACTTATGAGTGATTGGGGGAAGCAAGGCGTGAAAACAACTGTAGAGCACAGTAGTCTGTAATGAGGTGGTCAGAAGAGGAGAAATCAGGACGCATTAGGCCGGTTTAGGAATTCTGCATATAGCCCCAGATTTATTGGGCTGCTGCCAGTAACACTCAGCATCATGAGTATTATGATTTCCATGTGCTTTTAGGGAACACTCAGTGTTCGTGGAACAATTCTATACATGCTGTGTCTTAATTATCTGCACATGACTGTTTAGGCTGGCTGGCTCTTTGTTCTTCCACTTGACCATTTCCCTAATCCATTATCAGTTCTTGGCAAGCTCAGGAAGAAGAGCTAAATTCAGCCTATGAGGTTAATGTCTTTAGCTAAAGGATTAAAATAAGAAGTTTGAGCTTAGGTCCCTAAAACAAACATATTGCCCATTAAGAAAGTCATTAACAACTGCCTAGCTGTGTTTACTGAGCCTCGTACTTTCATTTTTAGTTTTTATTGCATGTCTTCCCCAAGAGCTGTAAATGCAAAAGAGTGGCCAGACAGCTAACAAGGAACGAAATAACCAGGGGAAGCATCCAGGGAATACATGCCTTGCTTCACAGCCCGGGGGCACTCAGTTTCCGCTCCCCACCTACACATGAATGCCTGTCCAGCTCTGAGTGTACTCTGATTTTTTTAGGAAACCGGAAATAAGGATTCTGATGTGAAATCTTCCCATTTTTAATCAAAAACTGATTCAATTTTTTTAAGATACCCACCGGGCAAAATAGCATGCATATTGAACATACTTGGCCCACAAGCTGTGGCCAGTTTAGAACTATGATCACTATTGGCATAAAAAAGGGAGACAAGGAGGAAAAGGATGCAAAAGAAATGCCTGTAAGCATTCATTTCTATTTCCCATGACCTTACAATTTATTTGGGAGGAAAAAAATATGTTCCCATGTGAAAAAAATTAAATAATGACCCAAATCAGTATTGAGTAAGTGCCAAGATTAGAGGCATTTCATTTAATCATCTTACAAGTCCTGATGAGCTTAAAGCTCATTAAGGTCTTTTGGGTCTTTCCCCAGGCTTGTTAGCTAATAGAGCATTTTGCTGGGATAAAAATTTCATAGTGGCTCATTGTTTTTGTCATGACATAAAATCCCACTCCTTTAGTAACTGTGCGTTCTGATTTACTTACTTATTTGTCTCCATGACAGGGAATCTGATGAGTGCAGGCACAGAATCAGGGGTGAAAATGCTTCATTGGACAGACAGGAAATGTGGTCTGATCAAAGCCATGTGTCATTGGTTAGGAAAAGTAGCAGGCAATTTTGGAAGTATGGGCCGACTCTGAGTAAGAGCCAGTCTCAGAGGTTTGCTTGAGGGGTTTGAATTTTATCTTCTAGGCCAGTGTATGCAATTGAACTTTCTATTAATGATGAGACTGTTCTGTAATCTGCATTAATGCAGCACCTGCAAGCTATATGAAGCTGTTGGGCATTTGAAATGTGGCCAGTGTAGTTTAAGAAATGAATGTTAAATCTTTGAGTAAACTTTAAACTTAAATGAGTGCCTGTGGCCGATGTGTACAGTTATAAGACAGAAGAACAGTGACGTTGTGGAGAATGGGGACATCATGACTGCACATCCAGTGGCAGTGTGTAAGCTGCATGAAGTCAGGGGACAGTGATGCACAAGCTTTTCTGTTCATTGACAACCGAGTTGGCTATAAATTTGAGCAGGAAGAGATGGGAGGAATATTTTCAAAAACGTCACAATGATGAGAAACCTGAAAGTTTTCGATCAAAGTGACTACTGCTTATGGAGCTAAAAACGTGTAGGGAAGAGTGTTGTCTTGTTTCATGCTGAGATAAGGTTCTTACAAGGAAGCATGAGGCAGGACATGGGTTCATTTTAAGGATCATCTAAATCAGGTAAAACACTGATACCAGAGACCCGGGTTTTCTCTATTTTTAAATGTGGAAAGTTGCCTAGTTCAGCCCGCCTCCACCCTCCCAAAACTAACAGATGGCAGGGTGGCTCAGGACATATGTCAGGTCACCTACTACTAGGTTTTGGTTCAGAGAGGTGATTAGTCTCTAGCCACAGGATGTCCTAATGTTGAGATCTGTTGGAACAGTTAGCATTTCCCAGATACCTGGGCATGGACTGGTGCCATTGCTTTTCTTTCTATTTCACTGCACCCTCAGCCCCTTCTTCTCCTGCTTCTGGCTTCCTGAGCTTGCCCACCATAAGCCTCCATTGGAGATTCTGGCTCTAGCAGCTGCATGGGGGGATGGGGCAGAGGCCCTCTGCCTTCGGCACCACCAGACCACCTGGGGCCTGCCGCATCTCTTTAACCACTTTCTACCATGTCAGGTAAGACACTGGCCAGACCAGGACACAAAAAGTGTGAGTTTCTTGACCTCAGTGTCCTCGTATCTTTAACCTTGTTTTGTTTTTTATTTGGTTTATTTATTTATTGCAGTCCTAGGAATTCAACCCAGGGCCTCATATGTGCTAGGCAAGTTCCTTCCCCCTGAGCTATAGTCCAGTCCTTGTTTTATTAAGACCTTGATTGCCGCTTTATTCCAAGATCCCAGCCTGTTGCTCTATCAGTGCAGGCAGCAGTAATGCAGTAGGAGGTAATAAAGCCCAGCCCTGACCATACTACAAGGAAAGTTGTCTTTTATAGCTTTTAAAATGTGAGTAAGATAGTAGCCCAGAGACACTTTGATGTAAGAGGAAACATTCGTTCAGATGTAAACTTCTTTATAAGACTTCTCTGATAAGCCACACAGCTGGTAATATTAGCTTCCTCTAGGGAGAACTCTAGTGAGAGTCCCAAGACAGGGGAAGACATCTCTTTATACCCCTGTTTATGTATATATAATTTCAAACCTTGTGAATGTATGACCTATTCAGATACTGAATAAGTAACATGTCCAAATTTTGGAAAGGAAGGGAGCTGGCTTGTGTTCTGTGCCCTGACAGCTCCACCTTTCCTTCAATTCTAGAAAGTTACCACTTCCTTAAATCAAGCAAACTTGTTTTCTGGTCTGGGAATAGAGACAGCTGAATAGAGACAGTTGAATAGTGATAGCTTTGAGTTTGCAGAGGACCAGCAATTGCCTTGAACAGCAAGTACCCTAGTCCCTAACAAGAGTGACCTTTTGGCATTCTAAGTACTATACGTAGTGTACCTCAATCCCAAAACCTTTGTCCTGGTGGTTTTCTCAGATGTGTTACACTCCGCCCAAACATTTGGCAAGGTCTGGAGATATTTTTTGTTTGTCATGACCAGGAAGCTAGTGCTGTTAGCGTCTGAAAGGTTGAAGCCAGGGATTCTATACTGTAGAATTCACAAGACAGACTCCTGACAAAAAATCATGGAAATTTGCTAGTGCCAAGGATGAAAACCTTGCCCAAACAAAACTAGTTTTTAACAATAAGAGTAAATACAAATCCAGCTCTGCCAGATACTAGTTTACAACTCTAGGCAGTTTTTAAAAATTGATTTATGTCTTATTTTTCCTCATTGATAAAATGTGATAATACTTCCCTTGACTGGCTCATAGAGCTATGATAATCAGAAGATTTAACAAGTGTGAACACACACTGGGGAAAGCGGAGCAATGATGAGTGAAGTTACTGTTCTTATGAGTAAAACCCCTCTGCCTCTCATTTCCAGATCAGCTGGTGGGAACAAGCAAGGCAGAGGTGGGACTGCCTCCCCCGGCAGGACTCGGGAAAGCAGGCGCTCAGGAGACAGTCAGTGAGGAGTGCAGAGCGGCACGCGGCCCCAGAGCTCTCCTTCCTGCAGCAGAGCATGTGATGCATCCGTGCTTCCCATCATGGCCTGCCACTGGGTTTTAGAAAATGAGCAGCTAGGAGCTGAACTTCATCATTTAGAGATGACTCAACAATCCCACCAGATGGGGCAGCGTGTGTCATTATATATATATATATTTGCCATCTCCCCAGCTCCTCGCAGATCAGGCTGTCAATCCCTCAGCATCGGCAGAGTGTCACCAGCACACTGACTTGTCTTCTGAGTGGTGCATGATTACAAATCTGCCTTTATCAGTTTTAAGTAAAATGTTACATATCATTAAGCAAAAACAATCAGCAGCTTCAGATAGAAACCACTGAGGAAGCCAGACCTCCCATCAGTCTGTGTCTCTGAATGCCCCATTGTTCGGTGACCTCCTTCTGCCTTCACTCTGCAGAGAGCGTCTGTATGGTAAGCCATCCAGGTTGGATGCGTTTCTAAGCTCTGATCACCTAATCTATCATCTGGTCCCTAATTCCAGTAAGTATCACATTAGTGTCCCTATACCTCTAGCCACAGGAAGTGATACTCTAAATTCCAGCCCGGTTATAGGCAATGGCAGCTATGATGTGGTTGGCTTTGGTAGGAATGATAGGCAAAGGGGCTGCGGTATTCAGTCAGGCCCCCACAGCTGCTGTTGCTGCGTTCAGGGCACAGCGCTGCTTTTGTTTTCCAGTGAGAAGGCTGAGTACAATCAGGTGATCTGCCTACCTCCCTGCAGAGTGTGGCCAGCAAGGCTCTGATGCTGACCAGAGTACTGCTTGTCCTCGCTTGTGGCTTCTCCAGCTTTGTCACAGCCTGCCCCCTCCTTCGCCTGACCTTCTAAGGGAGATTTCTAAAGCTGGCACTCTTAAGAAGTTACATAAACATACAGAAATGTAGAATCCTGGAATTCTTTTTCTTATTTTATTTTTTTTATTTTAAAGACAGTAAAATCCAACAAAACAAGATAGAAAGTCAATCAAAACAATGTAGGAAAATTGGTACAGAACTTCAAAACAGTATACCAGGAAAACAACAATAGCTATCATAGTATATCTTACTGTCTTCACTATAGTTGTCCATTCCATCAGGTATAGCAAAGTCAAACCAAAAACAAAACACAATAAAATGAATCAAGACAGAATGTGGAATAACGTAAAACAATTTAATCAGGGGTCGAGGATTTAGCTTAGCAGCATAAATGCCTGCCTGGCAAGTGCAAGGTCCTGAGTTTGATCCCCAGTACCAAAAAAACCCCACAAACAAGCAAACAAACACCCCATCAGAAAACAGCAAAACAGTGAAAACAATATTTGACTTCATAGACAAGATAGATGAAATCTCCCATATTTGCTATACTGCATACTGTCATCCTCCCAAGAAATGCTCAGACTGCTGGCCCCAGGCCTGCAAAATCACCCAAACAATGCAAGCATTTAGCTGCTTTATGTACCTTAGCTGCTGTCAACTCAGGCTGTCCTCAGAACCGGGACATGCAGATGACCTGCTAGCTGACTTTTCTCTCCCTGGAACCCATACTTGTGCAGCTTGCCAGAAAGGCTGGCTAGTTGATTTCTTGGTTGGTCCCCCAAGTCCCAGTGTTTTTCCTCAGAATTCTGGAATCCTTTATTCTGCATTCTATAAAGAAAACCAGCAGTCTCACCCAGTTTCCAGCCTTATATCCGCTTTGCTAACTCTGCTAGGGCCTTTACCATGTTTTCTTTCAGGGCTTTTGCTGTAGGTAGTTAAAGTCATTGGCTGTGGAATGAACCTCTTTATCAAATTTCATTGATTTAATTTTAGCCAAAATATTATTTATTCTATGAATTACAACATTATTACCAATCAGAAGCAATTTCAAAAGGTGTACTTATAGTAGGTTATATTAACTAGGTGTTTACTCTGTGCCATCTGCCACTCTGACTACTTTAGAATTATTAATTCATTTCATCTTCAAAAGAACCCAACATGGTGATGCTTAGCTCGGTGTATCTGTGGGTTCTGAATCCAAAGATTAATCAAACTGTGGAGTGAAGGTATTTTGGGGAAAAAATGTCATCTCTACTGAATATGTACAGCCTCCTTTCCTTATTATTATTCCCTACCTAATACAGTACAACACGAATCTACATTGGTTGATATTGAGTATTACAAGTAATCTAGAGGTGACTTGAAGTATTTGAGAGGATGTGTGTAGATTATATGCAAATACTAGCCATGTTATAAAAGAGACAGCATCCACAGATTTTTGCTATCCATAGATTCTTAGAACTAGTTTCCCATGGATACTCAAGGACAACTACATAATTATTCCCATTTTTACAGATGAGAAAAAGGAAGTGTAGAGAAGTTAAGTGAGTTGCTCCAAGGCACAGTGCAAGTTAAATGACAGAGTAAGGCTGGTGTTGTACCCCTGAGTATGTTACACCAGTGTCAGAACTCCCTGCTGCACTAAAATCTGCACTCGGCAGTGTCCAGAGGGAAGTCCAACCCACAGCATCAAAGTGGTAATTCTCAATTACTTCTGTCATAGTAGGGACAGTAAAGTGTAAATCCAGTATACAGACAATTTTGTATTGGGGAAAAGAAATTAATTAAGCTGCATAATTTTAAAAACATTTTTTCCCTGATTCAAAGGTTTAAAAGCTATAGATTTCCTTTTTGAAAGTGCAGCTCACCTCTGAATACAAAATCTGAACTATGACCTGAAGAATACCTTTCTCTAGAAAGTATGTAGTGATTTCAGAATGAAAGAAACATCTTTGGGGCACTGTGTATAATACTGGAAAAAAGATCAAGTGATGCTTTCAGTGGTTTTCTCAAATGCAGAATTGACAGTAAAGGATGAGCTTCTTTTGGCAGGTATGACACATTTTGAGTTGTCACATTAGGAGAGAATACATTTTGAAACCCAGCTGACAGTGTCATGGCCTGTCACTGAAGGAGAAAGGTTAGCTAATAATCTGCTCTGTAGCAAATGGAGGTTAAAAAATAACGCATGGACAGGAGGGTGACTGCTTTGAAAGTCATTTTTCTCAGGGGAATCAAGTTCTTCCCAAGTGGAGCAGCATTTTTCTGGTGAGTTCAGTTCACTGTCTGTTGGTGTCATGTCAGTGACTTTTATTATACCAGAGAATGGAAGGTGGAGTCACTCATTCCTCCCCATGAAACAAACTTTATTCAGCAAAGCTCCTAAAGGAGAGAGAAAAAAAGGAAGTTGTATGTTGTCTCTATGGAGATTGCAAAATTAAGATTCTCAAATACGTATTTCCCAGACAGCACAAGACACAAAGAGGGCTTCATTACAATGAAATGCCTAAGCCATTCACAAGATTTTTACTGACCCTTTTTGCAGTGGAGATGTGAGCTAATGTTACCCTTAGAGCCATGATTTCCGCTTATCCAGAACGTGTTGCTGTGGACAGTATGGTCTGTGAGTATTGATTAGGAAACACAGATCTGAAATGTAAGCTATCAGACTTTAACTCGCCTTAGCTAGGTTTTCCTTATGTACCCTCACTTGTGGGTGTGGCTAGAGCTTGGAATATAAGACACTTTTGGTTTATGCCACCCTACTCATTCCGTTATTCAGCTGGCAAAGTATTTAGTTAGCACAGCACTAGGCTAGGCCTTGAGGATAAAAGGAAGGCCAAGATGGACAAAGTCCCTGCCCTAATAATGCTATCATTGTCATGGTAAAACAGAGCAGAAAAAAATAATCAAAAAATGCCGTCTTTAATAATGACCAAATGCCATGATAAGAGGAAAGATAGCAGGGCTGCTTCCTTTCCGGTAAGGTTTTCAGGGGGGCTGGATAACAGGTATGAGAAGAGATAAAAGAGCATTGTTAGCAGAGGATGAAGTTTGCCAAGCCCTGGAGGCAGGAAGGAGCTGGGCGAATTCAAGGAACTAAGGAAAGGCCGTGAGATGGAAGCAGCGGTTCAAGGAGGGCAGATTTTGTACCCCTGTGATGAGGGTTACTGTGACACATCCTGTAATGCCCAGGAGTGCCCCTTACCACAGAGAACCTTCAGCCCAAAATGCCATCAGTGCTGCACTGAGGAAAGCTGGGTTAGAGAGGTAGCCTAGCCTGAGATGGTAGACTGCGAAGAAAAAGAAGGAAATACTTGAAATACACCTCGAGGTTGATGTTGGTTGGGCCATGGTTGGATATGGGCCACGGTCAGATATGAGACTGCTGATCCCAGTTCTCATTGAAATTTCTGGGTGGATGATCCATCTCTAAAGGAAAAGAACAGTGAGAGAAACCAAGTCTTAAGATTTGGAATGTTAGTTGGGAATGCCAGTGAGCCCGTGAAGGGAACGTCAGAGGCAGCTGGACACGTGGATTGAGAAGGGGGAGAGCTCAGCGACTCAGCATCAGTCTGTGTAATTGTGTATGAAACGTGAATGAATTTCATATTTAGACCCCGGACTCTTCACCCATGATGTTTCATGTCATATATGTAAATATTCCAAAATCTGGGGGAAAAATCCAAAGCACAAAACATTTGTGGTCTGAAGCATTTTTAATAAGGTTACTCAACCTGTTATCCCAAAAATACACAAAGCTGGCCAAGCCATTGCCTTCTAGTCTTCCACTGACTTCTCTTGCCATGGAAAGAAATTCACAGCCCATAGCACAGTCCATCCCAGGCGGGCTGGTCGGGACCCCGCTCCTGTCCTCCTGTGTCACACACTTAACTCTGGCCTCACCAGTCATCTCTCTTTTTTCCATCCTCATTTCTTTTCACACCTGCTGGTCACTCTGTGGTCTCTTCACTTCCAGAATCAGCACCCTCATTGTTTTTGGCTGTGTTTCCAGGTGGTGACTCTGAGTCACCACTTCCCCAAGACTCACAGGGCTCCTCACACTCTCCTCTGTTATGTTATGGGTAACATTGTTCTGTAGTAATTGTGCATAGCTGTTCCTGCCAATTGTACCGCCAGTGCTGAGGAGCAGGGCCCTCACCAGTCCTCAGCATCTCACACAGTGCCTGGCACAGAGCCTGCCCAAGGGATGTATCTTGTTTTTCTTGTTAACTCTTAAAATTTTCAGACTTTCCAGAAACAGATATTTTTCAGCCTACAGTTCCAGATCCCTAGTTAGAGGTGAGATCCGTTGGGGTGGAGGACAGAGGGGGTGGAATTTGTACTTTGGATGTTCCAGTTCTAGGAAGCATACTTTGAGGGAGAGCTCAGTGCCGTTCCCTTCCCTTTTTCCGTATCAAAGATGTCAGTGATTGTGGCCATCTGTGTCCTGGCTCGCTGCAGTCATATTTTAAAGTTGGCTATTGTGATGTGCTGTCATTAATTAAGACTGTAGTCTACACGCTGCCTGTGGTCAGCCCTTCCTGAAACAGCTTCAGCAGCAAATTTTAAAAGACAGCTGAAAGGCCCTTAAAGGTTCTTTTTTAGATATGGCCTGT